ATTATTACATTAATTTAGATTAACAAAGATCAGGCATGCGTTGAATGTTACATAGAAACCGCTATGCACTCAATCATTGTTCATTACGATAACATTGTCAGCGCTATGAATTTTAAGTTAGATATTTTCTACAAAAACATTATTATCATCTATAAATACTTCAATTTTATGATATGCTTTTTTATAAAGGAAATGTTTTATAAAACATTTGAATCCCTTTTCTGGCAAATTGAGTACAGACTCAGGTAGTTTGTTGTAAAACGTTACGCAGTTTCCATAAAACGATTTACTAACTTTCGTCAAACGGCACTAGCTATGTCCTCCTTGGTGTGGCCCGAAAACTATCATAATCAATTCCTGGTTTGTTCAAATTGAATTCGTTACATTAAGTGATATCCCTTAACACTTATCCTACCATCCTCCATTTTAGATATACCGATAGCGCAAGCGCATGCACCACTTCATAATCATCAAAACAAAAAATCTCTCCAAGACTATATTGAAACAATTTTCATAACAAAAGCAAACGATTCCCAGTAATACGGTAAAACACAATTTACAGATAATAGCAATTAGGACAAGCAAATAATTGTGATGTGATCATTAGTTACAATTAGGGCTGTAACGCGGCTGTTTTAATTGAAAATTTAAAATATCCGAGAAATAATCGCGTGCATTATTATGTTTATAATTAAGAAGCACTTTAACGGATATTCTTCTAATAAATTTATGTTCTGTGTTTGCTTATTTTTAATTGATTATTATTAACAATGTATATCATTGTGTGTTGCACGTAATGTTTTAATTCATTTTATGTAATTAGTTAAAACAAGCTGCGGTTACCTGGATAAGTATAACTTAACAGGAACAATAATTATTATGTGAAGATGTGTGAAGCCCGTGCAGCATTCCCGAAGATTAAGATGTCATGCCTCCTAATATGTAATTTAATTGCCTTATTTATTTATTACTAGCTGATCTATTATTTATTCGTTGTTTTACCATATAAATTAAAATTGTTATAAAAAAATAGGGGTTGGGGAAGGGTAGAAGGTAAAAATTTAGAGTTGTATATGTTTTTAATGCCATATTACAAATAAATAATAAAGTGTTAAAAAAAATGTTAAGGGTGGATAACTACTGGAATATGCATATAAAATTTCTTAAATTCATAATCGGTCAAGTCTTTTCGGAGGAGTATGGTAACTAACATTACGACACGAGAATTTTTAGGCATCGTTTGCCGCTAAACAACCAACCTGAAGGTAGTTAGAAAGATTTTATCTATCTACCATCACGCTGGCTGTCTGCATACTTAGCATAAAAGAAAATATTTTTTACACTATAATTTACCTTTCAAAAAGTAATAGAATATATCAAAACGATATAAATTCGCTAACTTTGTGACGTTATTATGCACAGGTAAGCCAGTTAGTATATTTTTCCATTTGATAACCCTAGATATAATGATGTCTCTGCACGAAACAAAATATCATTAGGAGTATTTATTTTCATTGTCAATTGAGAATGTGTGTCAATTATTGTTCAACATGGGAAGACTCATTGTTGGACTCGGGTTTGCCTGAAGACGCGGATATTAGACAAAGAGTAACAGAGATAGAACCAATTTGCTTGTTGCTTTCTAAACTGAATTGTAACTAACTTTTTGAGATAAATCTGTCCGTACTTGTTATGCAATTTATTTTTACTTAATTCATTAAGATAGGTTCAGCAACCGCATATTGTCGCGCTTATATTATTTGTATGGAGTACGGATATACCTGAATAAAGATACTTCGACTTTTTGACTGTTGACTAACTTTCTATTACTGCGGAGTAAGTCGACAGCTAAGATAATTAGCATTCAATTTTGTTTTATATACTTTCTATTATTGCTTGTGTGTATCGAATAAACATATTGTTTCCTTTCTTCTTTCAATATTTTGGAGATGACAAGGTAGAGTAATATTATTCATATACCATCACCATATGAAGAAATAATGAAATATAATATATAATAAAATTAATAACAAAATGATTAATGAGTTATAATTAACTAGTGTATAACAGTGACCTTGATCAAATAATGAAAAAAATATTTAATATAGCTCATTACCCATTATGATAAAATGTTTTGGAATGTTTGAGTCATGTTTGTTTATACTTAATCAACATCCTAAAAATAAGTTTCAAGCTTCTAGCTTTAAAAATGACGATTCTACCATACAACATACATACCCCTTTCAACCCATTACAACACTTTTTTTGCATTAAAAAGTAGCCTATGTCCTTTCTCAGGGCCTAGACTATCTCTGTACCAAATTTCATTTAAATCAGTTGAGTAGTTTTGGCGTGAAAGCGAGACAGAGTTACTTTCGCATTTATAATATTAGTAGGTAAGGATTATTGAATTAATAACATCGAGTTTATGCTTGACTCTCGTTTTCAACTACTGAATACAATTAACCGCCATTCACGTTCACAATAACATTGTGACCATTCATGGCACACGCTATGGTTATTATGGCATTTAATAGTAACTAAATCAGTACAGTCGTAGAAAAAATGAAACAAAACAACTCTAATATTTGCAAACGATTTTGAAACTATTTGCTAATTTTTATGTAAATTTAATAACTGGCATGGAATGGTAAGAAACAACCGTGGCCTATATTTATGGCATAACGGAGTTGCCATTCCGGAAAAATAAGATATTAATGCCTCTATATATGTACTGTAATTTAATTTTCATACACAGTATACATTATACATATGCATGTAGTAAAAAACGGTTATTTCAATATTACAAACGTGTCTGTTTGTAATATTGAATAACCGTTTTTTTTATATGTTTATCCAATTTTATTTATATGTTTAGATAATGAAATGGTTCATCCGCCTGCGCTAACACGGTTTACGCTGGCGGGGCTCCAGTGGAGGATGATAAGATGAGCATGAGGTCAGGTTAGTTACCAGGAATTTATCACGATGGTTTCTAGGGGGAACCGGGTGGAGGTCAACCTGACATGGTACCTTGCTAGAAATGAGGTTTACATTACTAACAATTCCCTTACCCCGAAATTATTAAAAAAAAAAATACAGCCTTAAATTTTCACCCTTATACCACCAACCCCTATTTTGTAATATTATTTATTCATACGCCAAAACAACGTTTGCCGGGACAGCTAGTTTTTGTATAATTATCTTTATTTATTAATGTTACAAGTGCAATAAAGTAAAGTAAGTCGGTTGAAAACTTTTATTGACTTATTCAATTTTATATTGTTTTCTTAGCAGATTATCTGGCCAGCTGTGTGAGCCACATGTACCATAGTCTGTGGCCCAGATAACAAAACATTTAAAATTTTGTGTATATATTTTATACAACACTAGCTGTGCTGTTAGTTCACGCAGCGAACGCAACGGAAGCCCTCAAATATGAATAATTGTCTCCATTTTTGCAACGTTTTTCACTGATGCTTCGCTTCTATTTGTCGTAACTTAATGTTATATAAAGCCTTTCTCAACAAGTGGACTATCCAACACAAAAATATTTTTCTATTCGAACCAGTACTTCCTGAGATAAGCGCTTTCAAACAAACAAACAAACTCTTCAGCTTTATACTATAAGTATAGTTTTTTTTCTGATCCAGGTTCAAATCCCTAGCAATGCCTTTAGACTAAAGTCTTTCCATAAGTCCTTGCGCGGGTATGTAGTGTACTCGCTTCTATTTTCCTTCGCTGTAAAGGCCAGCTAAGGTTTTAGTACTAGAATAGTCTAAACACATATTCGCTCAAACAGAATCGAGTTTAATTTGCAATTTATTGCAGTCGACAATCTTTACCGTCGTTATTTTTAAAGATCGCTCCTTTTTGTCAATAAAACTTTTATGAACAATAAAATAGATTATTATTATTAGGTACCTATATACTAAAGAATTCCGCATAATTGCTTCAAAATGTATCCAAAGTTTATATTACCCAAAATTAAGACCTGTTAAAACAAGTTCTATAAAATTAGAATAAAATAAGCAATAAAAAATAATATACTATAGTTAGCGTTCTTAAATATCAAAAGTTAATCAAAAAGTACACATTCCTAATACGTATTATTTTAAATTGACTCTGAATTAGTTTAGAATTTTTTTATAAACAAACCTTCGAATATTTATTTAAACATTAATTTCTAATAATCTACTATATTTTTTTGTTTTTATGTTCTACTAATATTAGAGGCAAGAGCTAAAACAGCTCGTTTATTACTGTTGTGGTATAAAATATTTATTATTTTTTAAATAATACGTACCTATATTTCTCCTTAGTACCTATTTATCGATTTCAATACCTATGTAAACACGTTTGTAAATGGGACAATTTATTAAGTATAAAGTGCCGGCATTAAAACTTATATTATCTCAGGTATCAGGTATCTCAGTAAGCAGGTATCACAAACAAATTCGATTTACGGGATTTTGAAAAATTTACATATTTAAACATCCTGTGCTGAGGCACAAATTACTTCAATTATAAACCGGTAATTTATTCATCAAATTAACCGTTTTTAAAAAGAGAACTCTTTATTTTATGATAACAGTACCAAATTTAATACGTATATTGAAAATATTTAATGTGCATTTAATATGTACCTACTTTGTCTGTTCATTAAAATTTATTCAATAAATTATATTCGAGCATGTTAGTCTATCGACACATGCTATAAAATAATAAAAAAAAAGATATATTTGTAAGAAACAGTCAATAGATATTGATTAGGTTTTCAATAATACAATATAATAATAGGTAGGTAGCAAATATTTTATATTGTGTTACTGAAATTAAACTACAAATCTATATACAATAAGACAACCAATATTACGTATAAATTAACATGTAGGTACTATACAATTTTTATTTATAGACATAATAGTAATTAATTATTCAACTTAAACAATGTTTTAGTCACTATTTTAGATGAAAAAATAAAATAAATATGTACTCACTTATAATTGCGAATATATATTGATTGATCCGCGTTCCATTTTGCCACATAAGTTTTGATATTATAATATTCATTATTAAATGCACTTTTGATGTCCACAATATGTTTTGTAAAGAATTCTCATCCAAACACGATGGTGTCTTTAATCCAACTGAGTGTTGTGTTGTATTGCGCGCGTATTGTAAACTGCGTGCGAGTGTTTACGGTGCACTATTCGTTATCGAAGATCAACAGATTTGTTTCTCATAACGTACGGAATCGTTTGGAGACAATTTTATTGTTCTCAATAGTGAAGTACTTAAAAAACTTTTTTAAATATATATAATTTTTGTATATATATAATTTTTATTCATCAATGAAAAAAGTGCTAACGATTGATAGTGTATATATTTATTACTTTAAGGTATGATAATAAAATAAACCACAGTGTTTGTCATACAAGGTACTGATCCCGGCGAGAAGCTAAGGACAATATCTACTTGAAATAATAATAATATATATATATTGAGGGGAAAAGGTATTGTTACTAATGTGGGCTCATGACCTCATAGCAATGTACATTGTCAGGCTGACCTCCACGCGGTTTCCCCTAGAAATCATGGTAAATTCCTATTGAATTTGTCATGATGGGCTAACTGACCTGACCTCTTGTTCATGTTATCATCCTCCACTGGTGTCCCGCCAGCGTAAACCGTTAGCGCAGGCGGGAGCACCATTTCATTATCATCCATAAAAAATATATATAGTACTAGCTGTCTCGGCAAACGTTGTTTTGCCCGTAAATAAAAATAAAAAATTTAGGGGTGGACTACCCCTAACATTTAGGGGGATGAAAAATAGATGTTGGACGATTCTCAGACCTTCTCAATACGCTCACAAAATTTCATGAGAATCGGTCAAGCCGTTTCGGAGGAATATGGGAACGAAAACTGTGACACGAGAATTTTATATATAAGATATTGATTTATTTCTTCTATAACTTGTGTAACAATTTATAATACACCTTATTTATCCGTACAAACATACAGACAGACACATTTTCAAATTATTAATACTACAATAAATTTATATAAAGAATCGTTCACTATAGACTAGCGAGTGGTTCATATTCGACCGTAGTGCATTCATTAGCATATTTTTGTTTATAAACATTTTTTCGAATGAAGGTAGTAGAAAAAATGTATGAATATTTTATAACCTGTTTAATTCAATTGATTCGTTTTGTGAACTTGTTTTTATTCGCCAATGTTTATAATTAATAAGTATATAACCGCATTTAATGCCGATTGCTAATTGGTAACGCTGGGGGGGATTATTAGTAATAGGGTCTAGTGATCCCATTGCTAGCAATTTACCATATCAGGTTGACCTCCACGGGTCATTTTTAAATGGCAAACAAGCTGATGACTCACCGGATGGTAAGTCTCACCTTCGCCTATATATATGGATAGCACTATCACGTTATCATGTGACGTCGGATGTACTTATACGTTGTCATCCCGGAGGTCTAAGATGTCACAGTTTACTGCCTAATCTGATCCTAGAACGGTTAAAATCTTAGTAAGCAAGCGGCAGATATAGATGAGACAGTTACGAACGCAGACTTTATACAAGGACTACCTCGGTAAAGAAAGAATAAAATGCACACTTATGTACATACTATCATAGCTGTGCCCGCGATTTCACTCGCATGAAATTTATAGCTTACTAGCAGTACACGCGACTTTGTTTATCTAAAAAGTAGCCTAAGTTAATCCTTATTACATCAGCTACCTGCTAAAAAAAAGTCCCGTCAAAATCGGTCCAGCCATTTCAGATATTACCCGGAACAAACAGACAGACAAAAATTGTAGAAAATGTTATTTTGGTGTATGTCCGGTACATAAACCAAAATAACATTTATATTCATATGCTTGTAGTAAAAAACGGTTATTTCAATATTACAAACAGACATTCCAATTTCATTTATATATATATAGATGTGTTATTCTAATACTTAAGATTAGAGAGTATTACTGTAGTTTCATTTAAACCCGTTCAGTAGTTTTTGCGTAAAAGGACTCCATCTAACCATACATACTCAAAAAACTTTAGAGTTTATGATAATAGGATAAATAATTGTTGAGGCTTGCACATGCGTTTTGCAAATATACTCTGTTAATACAAACTGTATCACTTTTATGAAATTTGAATGGCAATCAAGCTGATTACCCACCTGATGGTAAGTGGTAACCTTCGCCTATATGCATAAACAGCACTACAGACCTCACGTTATCGTACGTAACACTTGTGATATTTCGAAAACGTTGCTACTCCGAAGGATTAATTTGCCATGATTAATTCTGAAATTGGTGAGACTAGACATTTTTTAAAAATAGAATAGAAAATAATTTATTCAAATAAACTTAACTTAAGCACTATTGAATAATCATCACATTTTTTTTTCTACCAGCTCATTCGGAAAGCTGTCTCATCACAAGAAGAACGAGCAAGAAACTTGCGTGGTGCTCTTTTAAATAATTTTATTTTGCTCATTCTTTTTGATGATAAACAACAAGAAGAATGAAACCTGTGTGTTTTTTTGCAGTGCAATCTGTATCAAAAATATAAAATCACAGATTCACATTATTTTGGTTTTAATGAAATGTGCTTCTAAACTCCAAACTCTTACTATAAATACATACATATTTTATATTACAAAGTCTGTTTGTATGTTTAGAGACCATCTTTAATTACGTCATACGTTAAGAAGGAAGAGGATGGCAAAGTGAGATATTATATAACCCTTGGGGGTTGTATAACCTAAGACTCCTAGAAGGGGTATTAGAATTCATAATTTTGTAAATACAAACACAAAATTTTAACTATTAAAATGCGACCAGATGTGTAAAAAGAGATATTAATCACTGAAATTAGTGTTTCCTAATTTATTGATGATTGATGCGTAGAATTTAACTGAAATCAAATTTCTTTGTTATACCTTATAACATTGGCTGTCTGCGAGTGAATGTCCGATCCGATTTTTTATAAAATTACTTTGTATCGTATGCATTTAGTGCTAATTTGAAGGTAATGATCTAAATGTTAACCGCCTCTAGCTGACAAGTTAATAAAAAAGCAACAAACACTAATTAGAGTTTTTCCGTTTTTTTTATAAAAAAACATTACATCTCCATATAAGTTTTCGATTTTCCTTAAACGGGAACCGAACATGTAATCCTTGCCTTGTACGATAAAGCCATGAATCGAGACGAATAAGACCATAACGGCCCTTATTATTATGTATGTATGAATTGTCTGCAAATAATTTAAATAATTTCAACCTTGTGATCTAAGTACCAGCATCTTTGTGGTATATTTATATATTAGTTAATTATCTATTTCTAACAATAATTACCTAGAGTTATATATAGCATGGTTAATGAAGGCAGGGTAATAAATAAAAAATATTATCTAAGGTAATTTTTTTAATGAAATAACATGGAATCTATACATATATATATTAATAAGTGCAGCTAAAACTTTGTACCCCTTTTTTACAAAAACATATATGATACTAGCTGTCCCGGCAAACGTTTTGCCTTAATATAAATAAAAATTTAGGGGTGGACTACCCCTAACATTTAGGGGATGAAAAATAGATGTTGGCCGATTCTCAGACCTACTCAATACGCTCACAAAATTTCATGCGAATCGGTCAAGCCAAGTATGGGAACGAAAACTGTGACACGAGAATTTTATATATATGATTATAACAATAATCTCTATTTCAGTGTCATGAATTTGCCGACTAGCAGCAAATTCATGTACAATACTGAAATAGAGGTACAAAAGGTATTTTTTCTTAAAGTAAGGAACAGGAAGTCTGAAAGTTCATCTTTCCGTATCGTCCGTACAATAGACGTTACCAAAGCAACAATGTTTGGAAATTACAATCCGAGGTTTGGAATTAGAATTACATTATTTTAGTCCTAGCTGTGCCCGCGGTTTTCTCCGCATGAAATTTATAACCTATATGCTATTCTATATTACTGCAGTTCCATTAAAATCCGTTCAGTAGTTTTGCGTGAAAGTTACAAACATCCATACTCACAAACTTTCTCGTTTATAGTGTTAATAACAAGATTAGACGTTTTTTTGTAGGACTGCTATGTCCAGGGCTCGATTAAAGGACTAGGTGGAATAAGCAACTAAATATAAGGGGCCGTATACACGCAAAAGAAATTGAAAATAAATATTTTAATAGGTATCGCAAAAATAAATTCCCACTAGATAGGACGAGATGAGATCTATGTATGTATATACGAACTAATAAAATGGCGTCCACCACACCGCCATATGCCCACGTCACACACACTACACACATGTTCTGTTTTATATTGTACAGTCTCTTTTAATTCATTAATTAAGTTTCCGACTTATCGCAGAGATACACTATATATTTATAAAATATAAATTCAGGTAACTAATTGGGTATGGTGTTAAAAAATAATAATAATATATAAAGAATTAACTTAAATTATTAATTATCATACCTACAAAGAAAATAAATATTTAGTTCGAGAATAAATTTATGATCAACTGCCTATTTAACTATACTAACTAGTCGTCGCCTAATGGCAGAAATTCGACCATAATTAATTTAAATTAAGTTTGATCATTATAAGGTTCTATTGTCAACTACTACTACTTACTTCTATGAGTGTGTGTATCAAACACATAGACTAATGTTTTTTTATTGATTTACAATGTATTTTATGCATAATTAAAAAAAATACTATTCTGCACTTGTACTAGAATTTCCTCGGAAAAAATTAAATAATATATCACTATAATTTTTGTTTTAATAATAAAACAACAAAATTTTTTATAATTAATTTATATTCATTATACAAGTCATATTATTTCTCTAAGTACACTTGGAAAGTATAAACAAAAAAATATAATGTACAATAAAACAATCATGTTTGTGCGTAATCCAGGAGGTAACTAATTACAATAACTTATTGGTGCAGGGACGTTAATCCAGCACTTTCTACCGTGATTGTTACACTTTCTTTATTATGATGTATAATAATATGACGCCCATTGTTACCCTCGACCATTACCATTCTATTTGTAA